AAAAAAAAAAAAAATAATCATTAAAAAAATACTTAAGACTACCTGAAACCATAACATTACTATACAAACCTAATAACAAGATTTAGTAACAAATATATGGAAAGTATACCTCTATTATTTTCAAAAGTTGATCACTAAACTTTAAAGCCTCCGAACACAAGAAACCGGCACAATTAAATGAAGCAATATAAAAGAAAAAAAAGATTACTCAATATGGACGGCTAACTACCCTTCGACGTGGATCACTTCTGTAATTCACAGAGAAACACTGGCGCAAACGCCTGGCGTCACTTTAGAAGAAATGCAACTGAATAACAGTTAAAAATATCACTCATGGCCCCCTCTTTCACCCGTCCCCCATCCGTGTTTAAGCATCAAACATTGATATGGAGCGATATTTATGAGATAAATAAAAAATAAAATTTGGAACACAAATAACCAGTCTGAAATCTCAAAAGATATTTTCATCGTTCAAAAATTAAGGTTTTTGTTTTAATTACTCTACTTCTCAAATATCCCAAAGCCCTAAAATCATTTAGATAGAAAGTTATGAATAATTGCTCTCACAATTTTAGTTAATTTATTAATAAATATATTTTTTTTTACATTCCAAATTCAAATTTCAACTATTTTCTATTTCCAACAACCATCTGAAAAATTGTATCCAGGTTTGGACTTGTACAGTTATTAAAAAAAAAAAAAAGTTCCTCTTAAAGTATTTAAAACGAAAATTTCCTCTCGCACACAAAAATTTTGTGAATTATTTGTATTATTATTGAATTACCTCACTATAACCAATGTCCAACAGACAGATTGTTATAATACTCAATATAGAAATTTAAAAAAATTATTGAGTTATGTAAAAGTAACAATTTGTCTATTTAATTTTAACTTTGAGGTTTCATAATGAATTAATATTTTTTTTAAAAAAGTAAGCAATATAACATTATGGTTTAAAAATTTAAAAAAATAAAACAGCTTTGAATAGAATAGTTTGCTTGAGTTGTAATTATATCGCTAACAGGTTAATGCTCAGTGGCATGGTATGAGCATATGAATGACTGTCTAATTCACTAATGAATAAATATTTAAATTGGGGTTAGTTTCCCCCATGCTATTAACTAACTATCAGAGGACGTAGGAAGCTCAAACCAGAAAGAATAACTTTCTAAATTAAATTTCTTTCATAAAAAGGGTGTCCTTTTAATTATTCAAAATAATTAAATACTAACACAACCAAACTTCCCTCCTCTCCTCCCCCCGTTCTTCGCCTCTTCGGCTATATGGTTTTTTACCGGGCCGGAAAAGGCAGGTATTAATGCCAGAGTTAAAAGCTCCTGACACTGGGACTGGAACTCGTAATTTCCCAATTATAATTTTCCCAACACGCCAGGTAACGAGTTTCGCATACCTATTAGTCCGATCGGCCGCTTCGCAAACTCGGAAATTAATTTTTCAGAAATTTGATTTATATTAAGTAATTGTGATTTTATTTCATGAAGGAGTAACCAGCTTGCTTACGCCTTCAACCCAATTAGTATTAAACAAATTGAAATAAAACAAATATCAAATTATTCAAAACCTTAAATTATAAAATTCACAGACAACTTACTAAATAGACCTTAACAAATCTGTTATCAAGAAAAGAACGCCTTTATAAAAAAGTAAATACATTTTAGTCCACATTGTAAAAAAACAAACAAATAACTGTATAAATCTAAAAAAGAAATATGAAACAATTTCAACCGAAAAGCGAAAAATACATAATCTCACCTAAAGCCAGAAACATAGGTGCTATGTGAAAAGCGTGAAAATTAACTACAAACACGGAAACAAAAATCACACACACAATTCAATCATTGGAAATAACTCCATCAAAAGGTATGAATGTACATAGTTAAAATCGCAAACCAATTGACCGCTTTTCACTGAAAATTTTAGGATTGTCGAGAGGATAGATTATATATATAAATTAAGAAGTTCCGAGCTGACTCGAGTAACATGGTGCACCTGAATGAGAAGAACTTGTTTGGCATTCACCTGAAAAAATAGAACCAACCAGAGTGCCTTCCAAAGGAAACTAGGTTATACCTCTGATGGGGTATGAGAAGTCAATTCTTATGAAATTTAAAGTTTTTTTTTTTTTTTGTTTTTGTCGATAATAAACAATTTTTATTTGCAAGGAAGAATTTATTAGCTCGAAACATCTTGGGGTCGTCTGGAGAGATCTTGCTGATTCTCTCAAAGCTTGATCTCTGGCAGTATATATAAGTGGTTTAAATCATTATAAAATGGACGAAGTTTTTAAGTTGAAAACTAGAACTAGAGAAAAATTGTAAGTTGAGTATGGTTCTTTTCTAGTAATTCTCAACAGAGCTTAAAACGGAAAAAAAAAAATTATTTTTAAAAAGTTTTGGTACCACTGCAATTACAGTTTCGATAGTTTCTCAGTTCTTTTGGAACCAGAACTTTTTCTCTAGCAACTTTTCAAGTAAAAGTTTTAGAGAAGCTGATTTAAAAAAAAAAAAAATTATTTAAAAGTTCTGTCGATTATAAGACCAATTTAACGAAGCTTTTTTTATGAACTTAGATAAATAAAAGTTAAACTTTTACCATGAAACTTATTAAAATAAGATGTATGTATTGTTACAAAAGCAACGTTCATATTACCTCCATCTGTAATCTTCATTCCCTATCTTATCTGTGGTTGATATAGACTAACATTTTGGTGACATAAGTTATAAATTAATTTAAATATCTCACATTAATATATACATAACTGCATACATTTTAAATGATTGGAATTGATTTATCTCAAACCTCCTCTTCACTAATACCTTTCACATCCATTGTTTTCTCAACTCTATAAAAACAGTCATTAAGGCTTTCAACTAATGCAAATTTTAAAATGCGTGTTTGACAAAATTTGAATTGAGTGCTATTTTTCTACACCAAAATAAATGAAATTGGCAACTGTTTTGAATCGCAGTTCGAACTATGTATAAAACAAATACATTACTACACTTTTTAATATTAATATCATTGTAGCACACCATCAGTATTATTTATATAATTTTTTTTCTTGAATTATGTCATTTCTTCATTTGAATAAACTTATAAAATGTTTAGATCTCACTTTTATCAACTTTCTTAAAAGCCATTCTCAATAAAGCATCAAATTAAATTTTTATTTCATCTGAGCACAGGATATTGTAATTTACAATTGATATAAATTCAAATGGAGTCTTCACAAGACTATCATTTTTTAAGTTGCCCCAATATTTATGTCGAAAGGCCATATTATCTCTAAATCTGCCATAAAACAGACAATATCTACCAGAAAAAAAGTATACAGATAGTTAACAGAACTACTAATGTTCATTAGTAGAATGATTAATAGCACTTCAGTCTAAAAGAATAAATTAAAAAATCTAACCTTTCAAAATTGTAACCTATAACATCTAAAATAATCTTATTTGAAATCATTACAATAAAAGCAGCAATCAATTTAATGGCGAGAGTGGAATCAAGTATATCATAATATTAATTTATAATTGAAGAGGATGGTTGGGATGATCAGTCAAAATAAAATATAGTAAAAATAAATAATTATTATTTTTTCTATTTTTTAATTTGACTGATCACTCCAAACATCCTTCTCTTCAATTATTAATTTATAACTCTTTGGATACCCTCAGATCTCAGATTCAAGTTTTTTTATATTTTAATAAAATAAAAAAATGTACTAATCATGTTAAACAAAAAATACAGTTAAAACATCTTATTACTTTTCTTAAATTCTTACAGCTTTGTGCTAAAAACTATAAAACGTAAATAAATGAGATTGTTATGTTTACAACTTTATTAATGGAAATAGATGTTCATTGACAAAATAAAAATGATTATCAGAAAATATTTTCACTTGTAACAATTCAAAATAAAACATCTACCTCTCTAAATGAAATGCAAAGGTAAAATTGAATACAAATAGAATACCGGAATGGCAATTTATGCTATTGATAAGTAGATCATTATAGAAATCTGTGGAGACAAAATGATTGGTAGAGAAAAGCTTAATTAAATTAACAAAAAAATAATGCTTAAATTGAGAAATAGATTTAAAATCCCAATCAACCACATTATCATGAATATTGGAGTAGTAAAGTTAAAAGAATACTTCATAAATTTTATCAGCATTTGCTTATATATGAACATTAATGAGTAATTTTAACACCTGCTGCATTTGTAGATAATTGAAGTTCTTTTGTTTCAAGCAATACATTATATTAGGACAGAAAAAAGAACAAATATGTAACGATAACAAAAAATATAAAATTTCATAATCAATAGGTACCTATTGTTAAGAAGTTTTCCGTCTTATGATTTAAAAAAAAATAAGCCAATAAAAATAAAATTAATATCATTTAAAAAACAATTAAGTACTAGCATGCATTAGCATAATTAGTAGCCAAGCAGAATGATACATGTGGAAATTGGTCAAATTTATTCCACAATGTTCAAGTATAGTGCAGAACATCACAAAACAAACAGACTACAAATTGAAAAACAAAACAAAAACATTAAGACGAGAAATAAAAGAAATTAGAAATTATATAATTTTAATAACCGAGTAATGATATAGAATCTGATAATGATATGGTTTAATTAAAATAAATCACATAAATTCATAAAACTAATCAAGAAAATAGGAAAGAAGAGAGCACAACAGTGAACTAATAACATTAGTGATTTATGCTTAAGAACTTGAATTGTTAAATGAACTTTATTTGACATAAAACTATCAATTGGATAATTACTAAGTAGGTATGTTAAGTTATATGAATATTATGTAATTGTGATTCTTAGTACTACAGAAACTTAAAATATTATGAGTAAAAACGTGTTATTTTCACAGCATTGTGTGATAGTCATTTTATGATTGTAAACATGTATATTTGACAGAACAAAAACAAATTTGATAATATTTAGAAAAAATAAACCTTGTGGAGTGCCGTAGTAACCATCTTCTTTCCAAGTTGTCATCTTAGAATGCTATCACCAAAACCATAAAAATTCATTAAAAATCATACATTTAGACTTTTATTTTGTTTTTTATCAAAATGAAATAATGAATTTTAGTTATGGAGTTATTTGTTAAAAATTTTACCAAACGGAACCATATTCTACAGCAAATCAAAACTTGGCAAAAATTAAAAATATTAGTAACTGGATTTAAATAGACTAACTACTATTACAGTAATAATCAAAATATTCAATCACTAATTAATTCATCAATATAGTCAAGTAGTATAAAAATGTATAAAATAATATTTTTAACAGATACCAATAAAATATTTACCTTTAGTTATCTTTTAATAATAATCCAAAATATAAGTCGCAGACGTTAATCACTTGACGATCGCGAGAACTATCAACTTGAAACTGAACCAGACTATTCCAAACCCTTCTACTATAAAGCTATTACACCATTCTGAACAATCCCATAATTCTGTTGTGGTGTATTGACGCAGGCTGTTCAACTTTCACATTCAATAAAAACAATAAAAATGAACATTCAAACTTTCAAAGGAAGTTGGCAACTAATTTCAAAATTGAATTCTAAGATTTATGATAGATTATTTTTAAAAATAGGATAATTTAATATAAACTATCACACTATCATAGTTACGTATGGAAAGTATATTTCTTTACATTAACAGTAATTTCTTATGATATTCAAGAATACATTGCAATAACTATTCACTCAATTAAGCATTTAAACCTTGCAAAAGGTTTCATGAAATAAAAAAAAATTATTTCCATTTCCTTCTTAAGGTGCTGATTATAACTCTATATAAATGACATTTTAAGTTCAACTTGTAATTTCAGAAATTTAAACGTAATTATTTATGGATCGTTATGTATATATATTTTTAATAATAATGATATCAGGCATATCAACTAAATTACAACACTGTCTCAGGAGACATTTTTGCTCTGACGTTTTGATCATCTATACACTACGTTAATTGTAGACACATAATGGCCAAGAAAACCTATGATCTTTTATTCAAATTGTTACTTATTGGAGATTCTGGAGTTGGGAAAACATGTGTTTTGTTCAGGTTTTCTGATGATGCCTTTACCACGACATTTATTTCAACTATTGGTAAGCCTAGGTTATTGTATAACAACTATGTTCCTGATAATAATTTTAATTATTTTGGTTTTTATCAGTAATTGTGTAGTTTAAAAATTAGAAAATAATTTGTTGAAAATCTTGGTATGTAAGTTCTGAGGAATTATGTTAATGTAAATAATCCTTGGCCTTTGACACCCATGCCCAGTGTAATTAAGGGGAAGTGGTAAATGACTAATTGCATTTCTTCTCATGTTTTAATTATTTTCAGGTATTGATTTTAAAATAAAAACGGTAGAATTGCGTGGAAAAAAAATTAAATTACAAATATGGTATGTACAAGTAGTTGATTATTAAGTACTGTTTAAAGAAATGTTAGCAATTTGTGAAACAATATTAAATCAAAACACTTTTTAGGGATACTGCTGGACAGGAAAGATTCCACACAATTACTACATCTTATTACAGGGGGGCCATGGGAATAATGTTAGTGTATGACATAACAACAGAAAAAAGTTTTGAAAATATAGTTAAATGGTTACGAAACATAGATGAAGTAAGTATAATACTATTGATGAAGTCTATTATTATATTATTGTTCTACACCCTTGTTCATATTTCTATTTCTTTCAAAATATTTAGTGAATGAAATCTTTCACTTCATGATGATTATGCTAATGTTTGATTTATTAAATTTATCTATTTCAGCATGCCAATGAAGATGTTGAAAAGATGATATTAGGAAATAAATGTGATATGGAAGACAAAAGAGTCGTCAGTAAAGAAAGAGGAGAAGCCGTAAGTGGTGGTTGATATTTATTCGAAATATGTAGTAAATGATGAATTCATCTTTATTGATTGCCAGTACTTAAAATTGTATTTAGGATGATAATAATGATAGTCAAAATTAATTTATGAATGTTGCTAACATAACCTCAAGCTTATGGGTCATCTTTAGGGATAAAATCGAAGTTTAATCAGAATTATTAGATAAAATAAGAAGTACTTAATTATACCAAGAGTAGAAGATAAATAGTGCACAAATATTAAAGATAAATTAAGAGATAAAGATGCAAATAATAATTCAAGGGATTATTAGTGCTAAGATTATTTGAAGAGAATTTTAGTATTATATAAACAATTAAGTTCTTAATTTTGTCTTCAGTTCCTAATTTCTATTCTTGAGGTGGCTAAGCTCTAGAGCAATCAAAGGCAACCAAGTTGCATGCTGCAGGTCTTGTTCCCGTGCAGCATGCTCTTCAGTTTGATTATCAGCGCTACAGAATAGACCTAAATTTACTGCAGCTGGCTGATTGAGCTTAATCAATTTCTTATTTGGATGTGTCAGTTGGTTTTGAGATGTCAATGAAAATTTTTGTCACCACTGTTTTTTTTATTTTTAATAGGCTAAAAAAGAGCAAAGAAAAAAAAGAAGAAGATTTTGGTGTAGAGAGTTGTTTTTTACATTAATGAGGCTTAAGAGAATTTTTCCTAAAAATGAGTGACAAAAGATCGATTTTGTTAAAATATTTTACATATATGAATTCTTCAGTCACTTTGAAGCTAAATCTTGCAGCTCTTTAAAAAAAAATCTTTACCACTACTACCCATGAAGGGTCTTGGGTTTAGTACTTTTGAGGAATTACTGTACTTCCTCAACGGTTCTCCTTTAATTAATTCAGGGTACTTGCTTTTTAGAGGCTCTTACATCTATAAAACTGATATTATTTTAACAGTATATCAGAATTCTATAAATGGTGCCACTGCACAGATGTCACTCAACTTTGATGATTGGGACAAGATCATATGATCATGCTATTAACTGGATTCCAACCTTTGTAGGACTGATTTGAGTAAATAGGATCAATTACCTCCCTTTATTTATATCATGATTTATAACTTCTGCAAGCTCCTTACTGGCTCTATTCAGCTAAAATTGGGGTGTTCATTGACTACAATTAAACTTTATTTCACAACTTATGTTTACAGACTAGAATTAAGCAAACCTTAATGGATCCTTTTAGTTGAGGTCGGGCCTTACCAGACGGTTCAGTCACTTTTGTTTACTTTCAGACATTCCATTTAAGGTGTGATCATGAAATCTTGTGGCAACTTCCATATCTGTATCCCAACACTGAACCTATTATTAATGGGTCACTTGCTGCTCAAGACAGTTCTTTATTCCTTCATTTTCTTTTTAGTAACAAATTTACATTATATAATGTTTCTACATCTATCATTTATTCTTCCAAGTGTCTAGCATTCTGCTTACATGTTCCAACCACCTGAGTTGATGCTCTTTAATTTTTTCTTTCATATCTAATTGGTCCCGAATGACTTCATATGGGACTGTTTTGGTCTTATTCCAAGACTGTCTCCAATGCTTTGCTCCTTAAAATATTATATTCAGCAAAAATATTTTTTTTAAAGCCATCAGTTTGGTATTCTTATAAATTATTGTGGTACTGATGTGATAGAAGGTTCCTATGTCCAAAAAATATCATGTGAGTTTCTCAAAATCTTGAGAATCTTGGCAATAAATGCTGTAAAAGAGGAGAAGACTTCAGTTTGATACGCTGATTGATAGATAAAGAGTATGAAATCTGAAGGGCCTGCCTTGAACCCAAGTGAGTGATCTTTCATAGTGGAAGGGATTCTGGACCTTTTCCTTTTCAAAGGGCTGATTAATACATAGGCCTCCAAATTGTTAATTCCAGGTGCCAGTCACAGTGAATATGTGATGGCCAAGCATGTAAGAGCATCGCTTACTATTTCATCCTTGAGTCGAATCTCAGCTGGGCAGGTTAAAATTTATTTCATGACGGGCCTACTGAATGTATCTCGACCTTTCTACTCTGGTTAGAATAGGTTTGGTTGTGTTGTTCCTTTATAACAAATCCTCCATATATCATAAATGGTGAGGTTGGAAGTAGTAAAATTATAAATAAACAAACTAAAAAAGATTCTAAACATTTATTTATTTATTTTAGTTCTTTTAGCTATGTACAAGAGGTAATCAGAAGATAGAATTACAAAGAAAATCTAACAGTTAAGTGTACTTTTGACCATATTACTGTTTTTCAGTGAATGGGCCATTATCTGTCTTAATACATAAGAAAGGTGATCAAACAGAATGCACAAACTATAGAGGAATCTCACTCCTTTTGTGTGCTTATATGCAAAAGAATGTTTAGAGAGCACTCTAAACATTCTTTTGAGAGGACTCTTCTGTATGCTGAAAAGGAACTGGGGAAGTATCAGGCTGGATTTCGACGAAGACGCTTAACCACTGATCAACTGTTCTCCCTCAGGAAGAAAAGAGTATGGAGCGTAAGGTAGTCACCCACCATTTATTCGTGGACTTTGAAGCAGCGTACAACAGCATTGATAGGACACAACTAGAGAGAGACCGCTATTCAGACCAGTGGCATAATCTTCAATTGCCTGACTCAGATTCTTGGTTTTGCTGATGATATTGATATAACAGGAAGGTCTGAACAGGCTCTCAGTGAAGCTTTTACAGCCCTTGAAGCAGCTGCAAGACGACTTGGTCTAGAAGTCAATGAACCAAATATATGAGAGTTGGTGCTGAGATGGATCTGAACTCTCTATTTGAGGTAGGATCTTTTAAGTTTGAGAGAATCAAAAGCTTTATATATCTTGGACCTGAAGTAAATAGCAAGAATGGCATGGCTCAAGAAATATAGAGAAGGGTCATGGCTGCCAATAGATGTGTCTTTGGACTCAGCCGATACTTTAGAAGTAGGTATCACTCAAAGAAGACCAAGCTTATTATATACAAGACCCTTGTATGGCCAGTTTTGACTTATGGCTCAGAGGCTTGGACGATGACAAAAAGTGATGAGATGAAGCTGAGTGTGTTCGAGCGACGAGTCCTCAGAAAGATCTATTGTTCAGTAAAGGATGGTGATGTCTGGAAGAAAAGAAAAAATAGGGAGCTCAGTTCTCTTCATACAGACATCGACGTAGTCTCCTACATTAAACGCCAGACTAAGGTAGGCAGGGCATATGGCCCTAATGAGCACCTTTAAAATACCCATAAAAGTTATGATGGAGGAGCTGCACCTTGCAAGACGCGTAGGAAGGCCGAGGACGAGATGGCTGGACAGTATGGCCTATGATGCAAGAACTCTGCTTGGCATACAGAACTGGAAAGCTGCAACAGAAGACAGAGCCAACTGGTGGAGCCTGTTGGAGAAAGCCCAGTCTCGGTAACGGGATTTTGCGCCGCATATGATAATGATGATCTGTTTTGTTTGGAGATAGAATGTATTATTCATGTTTTTGTTCTGATATTGATAATGTTGTTTATGTAATTTTATAAAATTTGAATTAGATGTTTATTGTTAATACAATTAATTTTGAGAACTAACTCGTAAGTTTCATTTCTGGTTGACAGCTGGGTAAAGATCACATTTTTCACATTGTAGATGGAATTCTAGAAATAACTGCTTGTTGACAGATTGTCTTTGTCGGGTTTACTGACAAGCCCCTTTGGATTTCTCATCTTTTAAGATCAGAGCCTTTCCAAGTATTCTCTTCAATTCTACTTCCATAATTTTTTTTTCCAAGAAAGGCTTGCACATTAGTCACATTTATGTACTTGGGGACATATTGTGCTATTTTCAGAATTATATATACTTTTTAATTGATATGATCTTGACTCGTCTGTCAACTAAGCTTGACTTGTCAACCAGTTATGTATTAGTGCCATTTTTTCTTTAGATATTTACAGTGTTTAATCTTTTACAATACGTAAGGATTGTGTTTGTCCAGCCGTATGATAAGGTTATTCAGCAAATATAGCTTCTTTTATAATAAATTCTTGGTTTTTTATAGATTGCTCGGGAACATGGAGTTAGGTTTATGGAAACATCAGCGAAGGCCAATATAAATATTGACAAAGCTTTTAGTGAACTGGCTGAAGCTATTTTGGAAAAAACATCAGGAGTGAGTGTGGAGCCAGTGGACAGGGTTACAGTTGACAGACGGACGGATCGACAAACTATTAAGTGCTGTTAGTCTGATTTCCAATTTGTTTTTGTAAGTAAGTTTTATTTTATTCCTCAATTATTCAACGAAAACTGAACATTCAAGTTTTAATTAGAATAATTAATATTGTATAAAAATTGTGATTTACTGGTGAAGTTGAGCTTTTGATGTGCTATCTACATTTGTTTGTTTCATTTACATTTGATCCTTCTGCTCTCTACTCTACAATGAAAATTTTCATTTCTTTATGGGAGTTTTTCTTTACTAGATCAGTGTCCAGAAACATAATTTCAGTAATATCTAAGCTGGTGGCAGCCTGAAAATGTTTTTATGTCGCTACCATATTTTAAAGTTTCAACTATGTTCATAATTTTTTTTTATAGAACCTCTGGTTATAATGTCAAGGCTATGGTGATCTAACATGTTGGAGAGAGGTTCCCAGGATTGTAGTATGGGTTTAATTTCCATCTGTGTCAGTTAATACTTATTTTACAGTATTGTCGCAAAAGAAATCCTGACACTCCCATTTTGGCTAATAAAGGGCAGCACCTCTAAATAGCTAGCTATTCGAGCAGGCAAAAAAGTGATTAAAAGACCTGTAGATTTACAGTAATATAACTAATCGCTCTCATACTGATTATACCTCATTAAGGTATAACATTCTCCTGTGCATGTCACACCTTTTTATATAATGAAATTAACAAAGATTGGGAATCGAGCCTCTCAATGAAATAGATGATCCAATCAGTGTGTTCTTTATCTTTTCTTTCAAAATTATCAACCACAAGCTTTATACCTAAAAAAAATGTTAATTAACCTTATTTTTACTCTGAACAAACAGATATACTTTTGCAGCTCTGCCTATTGGTCGACAAACTGCTGTGTAGCAGTCAAAGTATTTAAGTAAAAGTTATTAATATTTTATTAAATTATTCACAAGATTCCTCAATTATATAATATTTTGATGCTATAATATTACAGTAGTAATTTATACATCACGCCATTAATGGAGTGTTTTTTTTTTTTCAGTTCTGTGTGCACTACCAAAGAGAAGACTAATTAAAAAAAAAGAAATGCGTTGCATCTTTGCCACCAATGCAAAACAGCTCGGGGAGGAGACAATTGTGCCACTCTAGTGTATATGTGCCTGTGTATGTGATATGAATGTTTTGTGCATATGTGTTCATTAATGTAAGTTTTCATTCCACAACTTGTATGAGAGGCTTGATGCTTTTTCCCCAAGTTTTGTTTTATTTATCTCGATGCTTTCGTATAAAACTAGTCCTCTCGCTTCAAGATAAATGCGACTTTGTTATTAAAAAACAAAATAATAATAAATTAACCCCCCAAAAAAATGTACTAATGATTTCCGAAAAATGCTGGTGGCAATAAACAATTCTTCCTTCATAATATGAATGTATCAGTAGTGAAGGAAAGTGATTTTAATAATTAACTCAGTTAAGTATATATTTATTAACATTTAGAACATGGTTAGTAATTACATATTTTTTTATACTGATTCTCCGATTAATTACAAATGAAAGTTTCTACTTTTAGCCTCCTTCATTTATAGTGAATAATACTCATTAGTGTTATAGTCATGTTCAGCTTTAATTCTTACTAGGTGAAGATCAACTACCCTTTTTGTTATTAATATCATTATTTGGATTAGAATGAAAGTTGTAATTATTGGAGGTTTTAATTCGACTAAGAGTTTCTGCTCTGAAATGGTATATTATGGCCATAGATTATTGTGATAATGATTGTATATTGACATGATTAACATACTTATGATACACACTACTTGTCAATATGCACAACTTTAAAGTTATCGGTTTTAAAAATATTTCTTAATACAGCATATATTTTTTTAAACATTTTTCTAATGTGATTACATATTGCTGTAAAAATTGTTTGGTCAAGGTATGTTTTTTTTGTTTTTTTAATGTTAGATGCTGTAGACTTTCTCTTAATAGCGTTGTTATGTTGGATAGTTTGGGTGTTGCTAAATGTGAAAATCTCTTATTTTATGTTGAAAGGAGATGGATGACATTTATTTTAGAAAACATGACAATTTTAAATATTGACATTGAGTATCGAACAAATATAGTTTTTAATTTAGTAATTATTGTTACAATTATGCCAGCATTTTTCATCTCTTACATTGAGGAGTATTTTGCCTTTGTATTTTTATCTGATAAATTATTGTTCTTTGTTAGCAGTTCTTGATTTATTTCTGTTGTGGTATTATGTCTCAAATTGTAATCAATTAATGTTACTAGGATTCCTGCTTATATATATATACAATATTTTTGAACTTTTGATGTAAGGAAATTGTATATACATACACATATGTTGTTCCTACATTAATTTCAATTAAATAGAATATTAATGATATTAAACTAGGATTTTATAAAATGGAATGTTAAAATTTTGTGTTTTATTATTTCTAAAACGGCCTCTGAAAACTATTCATCATTGTTGGATTTTTATTAAAATTATTGTTTAAAGTTAATTTTAGCTTGTAACCATTGTAATGAACTGGTTTATTATTGCTTTTTGTATATAATCTGTGCCTTGAGCATGATTTTATTATGCTTCTGCTTATCTTTTCACTAAAATTCATATACATATACTAGATTTTTTTTATCATCTTAGAACAAATTAATATACTATAGAAATATATATGTATTATATACTTGCAGTTAAAAGGTTGCATGTTTTATTATGTATGTAATAGAATAAATAATTATTAAAAATACTGCTTTATCAAAATTTTATATACATAAGGGTATTTATCATCTCTACTTTAAAAAAAAAAAGTTTTATTAGACATTAAATTGATATTGTTTTCAATAGCAATGTATATAATTTAATGTTTCTTTACTGTTTTGTTGCTAAAAAATTATATATATTTATATATCATAGTCATCTCCTTTTAACACCACTATTGAATTTTTAATTCATTATATTGTTTCATTTAACTCTAGTCACAATTATTCTTTTATTAATGGAAATGATTTATTTGCAACATAAAACACTGTATAAGCACAAACTATTATGCTAAATTGTATAAATTACAATTTTCTTTTTAACTGTAATATTTTTTTATCTAATTAATTATTATTAATAAAATAAATAGTTAAACCAATAGCAGTTGTTTTTTAAAAAAAAATTATTTGATGAGTAAATGTTTATTTTACTATCATTATTATTACAATCATTTATTTCAAACAAATTGGTAATGATATGTTAACAAGATTTCTGACTAGTCCAATCAACTGTTTTGTCAGTACGCCATATCTTTGTTATTTCTTCATTAAATTCAATGATCGAAAAAAATCTAAAATGAGTCATCAATAAACCTTTCTATTAATGAAGGGCATGTATACTGTGGGCTTAAGACAAATATTAAGTAACTTTTCATACAATTAAGTCGCGATGTATTTTGATGAACATTCTCTGTGTGAAATGAGACCATTGTGCAATTTGAGTAACTATTTTTGAATTATAAAAGGGTTTATTTATTTTTGATGTACTTACTGTGTTTGTGCCTTAATAAATAAGGTAGATATCCATAAAAACGTACTTAGTACTTACGCTCCATCAAAAATGTGCCTAGTGATTTTTTGCAATAAACCGGAGATATTCTCTCATTCAAACAGTTCAACATACTATACATAAATTATATCACTTTGAAATTTCTAAAATACATATCAAGGATTCTTACAATGTTATCTGAGAAAAATAGCTTTTGATCACAAATGTCCATATGAAGAAACTAATGACAAATCATAATTCTTCAAAAAGCAGTTCATGCATCCCATTTTATTTGAAATCTCTTCTTATTGTGAAATCCTCTACCATGAACATTCCAACAGTACAATATTAATTATATGAGTGGTCTCATACCAATGACAGACATCTTTCATTTGAAAAAAGTGGAGAAAAGGCCTATTTTTGTTTTAAAGGTTCAACTCTAACTGTTTCTAGTGATTTTTTTAAAAGAATGTTCATGTTGAATCATGGAAAAAAGATCATTAGCATTGGTTTGAATTGAAGCTATGTTACAAAAATAGTCTTTTTCTCAAGTTTTTAAAATGACATATACTTTGATATAAGGCCATATGACAAATATTTCAATTTTATAATCACCTAAATCTAAATCATATTCAACCACTTTTTTCCCCTCTGTTGCCTAGTGAATCTTAACATAGATAAAAAAACAACAGTTCTGAGATTGGCTTCAGCGAAGAAGATAACAGCCCATCAAATTCACTTGGTGTTTCGCAGCCCATTTTCAAATATATTTACTAAAAGAATAGAAATTTGCCAGTGTGTAAGCTTTTTCATTGTAATTTAAAAAATATAATATAAAAAAAAACATTTTTTTGATGAATCATTAATGTGCAGCTCAATTATTTTAGACTGATTTCTCGTTGTCTTATATAACATCACCTAATTCAATTCTCCCAATTGTAACAGAGGTTTTTTAAAAACTTCCTAAGTTTTTGCAATGGCATTTTTATCATTTAGAGCATATTTCCATTCGAAATGTCTTAGAAATATATATTTCTAATAGTTCAATCTGGCTTTATCCAGTAAGCTATCTGACTCATTTTCTTTAAAACTTGTCAGGCGGTGTTTCAACTTATATTAGAATGTGAATTAGTGAATGCAAAGGAAAATGAAATTCACTCACATCTACAAAATTTAAGTATCTAAGCTGAATAAGATTAGTATGACAAAAATAACTCATAAAAAAGCTAATGGTTGAAAAATCATTAAATATTTAAATAACATTTCTATGTTTTTATATAGAAGTAAAAAAATATAAATTACAATGAATGTTGTAATAAGAAATAAATTTAAACTAAAATTAACAATTAACAAATAATATTTAATTTGGAAGTTAATCCATAATAAAATGAAATGTTTTTTAACCGTACAAGAAAACAAAAATTAGAATAAGAACTAATTACACTATTTAATAATTCATTCTTAGGGTTTTTCCCATTCATAGAAATTCTAAGAAGTTGGAAAACTATTTTTAATTTATATTTTAACTTCAATTACTATATCTTATGTGAGTGACATTTTCTTTTATTCAAGGGGTGGAACTTCTGGATCATCAATGAAATCCTCTTTCTTATCTTTTTTCACAATATGTAGCATTTTTGAAATATTTATTAGCTTGGTTTCATCCACTTCTAGATATTCTCTGAAGAAAAATAATTAAAATAGGTTACTTTACATTATACAGATTTGATAGGCAGCTTAGTTTTGTAAAAAGTTAAAAATAAATAATATTGTCGCCACCATGTTAAAGTAACTAATCGTGACAAGCCCAACATTGCACATTCGTTACTTTAACATGATGCTCACGATATGTTGAGTTAAAAAAATCAGTATGGATAACTCCAAAAATAGAGGTGGGTGTCTTAAATTTTTTTTAAGTAGGAAAAAAATTATAATTTTATCATGCTTATTTTAAGACTAATCAGAGATTAGGGACCCAAATAGACCTTCCTAATATCTGAATCTGTTGTATTTATTGATCTGGACTATATATAATGAGGAGCCATTTAATTCATCTTTAGAATTAATAGGTGATTGAGGAAGCTCCTAAAGATTACAGCTTAATATATTTATAAAAGAAGTAATAGCTTCAATAATAATTCTTAGATGGATGTATTCCTCTTGAACTCCTCCTGCAGGAAGACCTTTTTCGCCACAATATTAAGAGGGATGGCTTGGTGGATTTACCAGCGAACATTCGGGATAGGATTTGTGAAGACACCAGAAGATGGAAGATGATCCTCCGGGAGAATACATTGGAACAATGGCACCAGAGATGGGTGACAATCCCAAACGGGTCCACACAGAAAGTTTTTTTCCATAGTCAGATCGCGTCTAGAAAAAACATGGGTTCTCCCGGACTACTGGATCTCACAGATCCTTATGAGGGATGGGGATTTCTGAGAAAAACTTTTTAAACATGGTAAAAACATCAATTCCTTATACCCCACTTGTGGAGAATCAGAAACAGCCGAGCACATCCTTGTAGCCTGCACCAACTATGACACACTGAGGCCAAATTGATGAGGAAGACAGGGCGCTACATTTTAACAGAAAGTAACTTCTCTCAACTGAAGTCTCAATGAAACTACCTGCACTTTAAAAACTTTATATGCGGGTCAAAAGAAGTTGTGGGCCCAACCCACTTCTACTTGGGTAGGCATGAAGAAACAGTATCTGGAATGCTGCTAACAGGATAGGAGAAGAAGATGATGGAAGAAGAAATTAGAAAGAAAAATCATCAAGACTGTGTGCACAGAAATTCATCACAATGTAAAAAGATAAACTTGCAGCAGTGATTTGTTATGCAGGAATGTGTAACAAGTTACTAATGCAAACTCACATATTGCCTTAAAGACAGGGTAGAGAGGATATAATTTTTATTTTGTAACACCTCTTGACTAATTTGATTCTTGCCATTAGCAGCTATGAGCTTGTTCTAGATGACATCTGTGATCCTTTGGTTCTCTTATATAGATATCCAAGGAGCACGTGGTTTATAATAACCGGACGCAATCACAAATCACACCCACTTTATCCGGATGTCTGGCAGCCTTTTGCAGACATCTCCATCCTGTTGTTTTATACGGGATACAGTTAATGGCCCTGAGCCCAACCCCAACATGGAGGTTCAGGAGCTATGTTGTAAGACACAGGAGTCGCTCACCTTCTTGTGAATCTCAGATTGGGGACGTTGCCATCCCCATGTGGGAATGGAACCCGTTCCATAGTGGTTTAAGCAATCGAATAGGGACTGCACTTATTTATTTTATTTTATTTTTTTTTTGTTTTAAATCCCGCAAATGGGATTTAATTAAACTCGTATAATAAAAGTTTTGCCGGCGCCTTAACTCGCTCAACCTCCACAGTCTTAGGAAAATAAAAAAATCTTGAATAATAATAATTACAAAAAATATTGATTATTTAAAAAAAAGTAAAAACTACTTTGTGACTTTTTAAAGACTAACAAAAGTGAACTTACATTCATTCTCGTAAGTACTGGTATTACATTAGTTAAGTTCTATATAAATAAATGTTAGTAAGTACTATTAAAGTAGTAAGTACTAAACCACTAGTATTTCATGTGTAAGGTTTAAATTACAAACATGTAATTTATCATTATGACATGATGTAATGTACAAAACAAAATGTAAATAAATGATAATTTCTAAATAAAAAATAAAACTATTACCTATTTTTCTGATTAGTTTTACTTTGCTTTTCTTCTTTTTTCTGTTCTGTCTGTTTAACAATCTTTTCTCTCACATTCTTCGGCAGTATATGTTCATTGGCCTGTAAATAGATTTATATAAGTCATTAAATTGCATATAAAACAGAGTCAACTCTTCAAAACACAGAGAATGAGAAAAAAAATAGAGGTATGCATAGTTTGAGAAACAGAGTTTAGCTTCTGAGCAATAGCATGTTACAATAGAGATAATATTTTAATTTGAGATGAATGTATTGACATTGATGGAACTACAAAGGAAAATACTCTGTTGATTTGATTTGTAGAGACAAAAATCCCCTTTGAATAATTTTAAAATAATCGATGTACATTAATTTGTCAGAGGATTGTTAAAAAAAATTTAAATTTCATATATTCTGTTACAAAATTACAAAGCATAATATTAATATGATAACATTAATTGTAAACATATATTCCAAAAGTATTTCTTAAAGTTAACTTATTGTATTGTTTACAAACAGTATGTATACAAAATTTTTTTGTAAACTTTTGCTTTCATAGTAACTATGTGAAAAGAGTTTTATAACATGAATCCAGATCAGATACTCAATAGTAGTTGAAAAAATTCAGCCCTTTCAAAAATGACATCTCGAAAAAGATGATTTTTCAGTACAGTGATTTTAAACACAAAATGTTTACTATTCATCAAGATTACCTTTGGCATATTGACCAGAAGGTGACCTGTAGTTTGAGAACGTGTCGCTTTAGACTGATCAGGTGCAACTTCGTCTTCTAAGCGCAATTGAAAAACCTTCTTCTTTATTATTACTTTTATATACTTTGGTTGAACATCTACTTCAATCAGACTTGTGTCTAGATACCTATTGGTTGACAAAAACTTAATTGAATGATTAAGCTAAAATTATTAACTCAGTAATTATTTTTGTTTTAATTTATTTATAAATAAATATTCCTAAATCAATTTTCTTCATCTATTCCGTTTAGTCCTCTTAATAAAAGAAAATATTGAAAAACTCAGAAAAAAAGCTAAGAAGCAGATCAGTTATTTAAGTATCCGCCATTATATACTTGTATTATGTTGATGTCTCTTTAAAAAAATAAAAACTGTTTTAATTTCATTAGGACTGGATCGCCCTGGCCTATGTTTGAGCATGGTTATGGAAAACATTAATTTTCTGTTCTATTAGCAATGAATTGATTCTGGGCTCAGGAGTCTTTTTTAAGGCAAGTGGAAACTCCGGGTGTGAATAGGGGGAAAGCCAAGTGCTTGAGTAAATTGAAACTAACCACATTACCCAAGACATTTACAACCCTTGATTGCAGGTCTATGAAAAAAAAAACTAATTATAATACAATATATAAGAATGTCAAATAATTATTTTTAGAACAATCATTACAAAAATGAATGAATATGAACCATTACCTTATAGAATATAACTAAATACCTATAAACTGCTAAATCAAGTTTGTAACAATGACCAAAATAGTCATCTTCCAGTCTGAAGGGAATATTTGCTTCATTGACATTATATGGCCTTCCATTTTCATCAAAAAGCTTTGTTACTCTTTTTCTAACATATCTTGGATCTTCAAATTCTCTTGATGGTTTAGGTGTTTCTTTTGTCTTCTTAGACATGATTGCCATTTGAATCCTATCTTCAGGTGTATTTTCACTAGAGGACTCCCAAAAACTGAAAATAAATGTATTATAGTCCATAATAATACCATTAACGTAATTCTTCATTTGGCCAAAGATTGGCATAAAATAGAAAATAAATACAATATTATAATAATAAAAATGAGTAAATGAAATTTAAATTTAAATATTGAAAAATAAATATTTTAAATGACTATTAATCCACAGAAAGTGTTAACTGTCATATTATAGAAGTTTGCTTATTTTCAAGACTAAAATATGACTCCCTTAATAATTTGAAATAATATAAATTTAACCATCATAAAAAATTCAGGCAATAATCAGCAATCTACTTCATATTTATGTAGTAACGTAATTAAAAGCAAACTATTTTTTTGTTCTCTACAATTCATGTTATCAAACAGAACATCATTTGAAAAAAAAAAAAAACAGGTTAAGGAATATAAAAAAGTCGATGAATATTCCATTTAGTATGTACCATTTATATTCAAGAGAGAACTGAAAGTTTCCATCAATATTTTATACTTTACAGTTGATAAAAGTTATATATTTTTTTCAAATCAGAAAATAAATAATGAAAACATCAATTTATTTTTTTTCCTTTTCGCTTTCTTTACCTATTTCTGGTATAGTTGAGAGGGGAGTGGGGTTTATTTTAAAAGGAATCAAACTATTCTAAATAGAGAGAGAGAATTTCGAGATCCAACCAATGGGAACAACACAAAATGAATTTAACATCCCAAGAAAAAATAATGAAAAGGAATACAGGAATATTATTTAAAGCCTAACCAATGATTTCTAGATCAATCGTCAGAATAATAAATGGAATATATCATTAAAACCTTCATGGGTAGTCCAACAAAATAGCACAATATTTTTTTTTTTTTTGCATTATTGATTTACTTTTTTCGTTGTTCATCATTGAATTCTCCTTTAACCTTATCTTCTGATAATATGAGACTTCCCTCTTTTTCTTTTTTTTGAATTTTACGCTTTTCTAAAATTAAAAAAATATATATTATTACTTTTTTATCAAAACAGAAAAACTATTTTAAAAACAATTCGATAACTGGTATCTACTTAAATAATTATTTTGTTCAATGATGATTTTTGGTCTGATTTCATTGTATTTTTGTAATGCCAATATTCTATCAGACTTCAATACTGCCTTTCCATCAAGTTCCTTTAACTGAGGTAGGGTGGCAATTACAAAGTTTCTATAGCCAGAAAAATCTGTACAAGGATTGCCACATAATAATCTACAAAGGAGATTCATTATACAATTTAAGATAGGTGTGATCATACAAAAACCATATATAAAATCATCACTTACAGCTCTTCCAAAAAAATATTGTTTTTGAGATTTTCAACAGATAGTATATCTCCTATAAAATTTAACGTTAAATCCAGCTTTTTTAATGATTCACATCCTTCTAAGTTTTCAATTCTTTCAATATTATTGATTGAAAAGTTCAAGTACTCAAGTTTTTTTAATTTTCCAATATTTTCTTTTGAAAAAAAAAATTAGCACATAAATGTATTAAATGGTTATAAGGATGGAATTATAGAGAAAACTGCATCTACCTATTTTACTTATGAGATTACTATGCAGCAAAAGAATTTTTAAATCTTTGCACCAGTGTTGTAAATGCTCAAGTTTATCAAGATTGTCTTGATGAAGAGACAACTCTTCAAGAGTCCCAATTTCACAATTGTTGTGTTCCGCTCTTTTTCTAACCAATTCCTCAGAAACTAAGGAAAGATTTATAGGTCAGAAAAGAATAATTAAAAAATCGATAATTAATAAGTTATTTAATTATATTAATATAACTTAAAACTTACTCCTCTGCATTTTCAAAGTTAGAAATTCTATAAGAATGATCTTTAGAACTAAATTAAACAAACCAGAATGACAGACAGCAGTTTTTAACAAAATCGAAAATTGTGCCAGTTCGTAACTGGTACAGGTTCAAAGGAGGAATTAATACATTACTTTGTTACGAGATGTTTATTTCTTAAATACAATTTTACATCACTTTTTTCAAACTTATTTGAAACTAAAGATTTATTAACAAATATTATTTTCATATTAATAAGGATAAGTTATTTACAAAAAAACAAAAGATATTATAAAATTAAATTTCCAACATTTCGTCTAACAGTGTAGGGTATTATTTATTTAGGATAGCTTTATCACATATCACTGAAGTTCAGTTCTAATTATATCATTTCATTCATAAGTTTATAAACTAAAAGTTATAATACAGCAATCAACATGCAAAAAACAGCTGTTAATATTTCTGATTTGACTTACATTGATAAAATATTCAGTACAAAATAAACTTCGTACTGATAAAATATTGCGTACTTTTTCTTATATGAAACAATTCGCTACAATTTAGCCCATTGGTTTGGATGCTCCTTGGGCTAAATAATGATCTTCACGCCATATAAAAAAATGTCTGGTCCCTTTCATTAGATTTATTATCTTGAAAACACAAGGACAGGCCCACTAGCGGATCCAGGATTTAATTTTGGGGGGAGCTTCAGCCCGAAAGCTTTTTTTTCAAAAAAATAACGATAATTAGTCTGTAAAAAAGAAATAAGCTAACTGCCTACATGAAATATGGTGCTTAAGTGATTCCGAAAGTCCTTTTAAATGTGATTACATGAACAATAATACTTTTTTTTTTTTTTTTTTTGTTCTTCCCTACCTCGCCTTTTAGGCTATACGGGACTTTTAGGATTACGGGCCGGGGGGTGAGGGCGGGGAAATTTAAAATCCCCTCCGGCACCGGGACGCGAATTCGTACTTTTTATATCATCTTAAATCTCTGTTATCCGGTTGCCAGGCAACTAGCGGTGCTGTTACACATGCTTTAGCCTATTCGGCCACCCTGCCCCCCCCCATGAACAATAATACTTTAAGAGATCATTTTTTCCATAAACATGGTTGCATTTTACCATTTTGGTAGGGCTTCAGCCCGAAAGCCCCCCGTAGATCCGCCCGTGGACACACCATTCACAGTCGTTCAAGTACCTGTTCCTCTTCTTAATAACAGTACAAGCTAGAGATGAATTTAAAAAAATCACAGGTCATATACAAATTTACTAATCTGTTCTATGCTTTGTCTTGTCTCCTCGTTTGAAACTTTTCATTTCGGAAATTCATAACCCCGCTTAATCTGACCCCTCAAAAATCCAAAACCCCATCAAAATGTGCGCTCCTTCAAAAATTTTGATGGCGTACCTTGCGCTATGAAACTCTCTTATGGGCACCCCTGTATTCCAATCAATATCCTATGTAGACCACTATATTAAACCATCATAAATCATCTATATGTTATATAGAACCATTATAAATATATCTTCTTCCGTGAATTTTTGTGATATGATAGTCTTATTCCGTTCATCCAGAAGAAAACAACACTTCTCAAAGTTGATATAAAAAATATTATGATATTTTATGCGACGGATTTATTGAAAACGTCATTATAAAAATTGTACTAACGGTTTTCGTCTTTTTTATGTTCAACTATATAAAATCCTTACGTAAATAATCATGATTTTTTTGTTATGTGATGGTCTTCTTTCGGATTTACTACTTATGTTTTCTGAACAGTTATGTCCATTATTTTTACACATTTCTGATTACCAGAAGATATAGGAATAGATCGGAAATATATATATAGATATATAGGGATGCCCAGAGGGGGATTTCATGGCGCAAGTTGCGCCATCAAAATTTTTGAGTAGAACAGATTTTGACTGGGTTTTGAATTTTTGAGGGAGTACATTTCGACGGTGCCATGAACTTTCTGAGTGAAAAGTTTCAAAACAGAGAACTAGGAGGAAAGCATGGGGCGGACTACAGCAAGTGTAAATTTATATGACCTACGATATGTCTAATCATACTTCCGCTTGCACTGTTTTTAAGGAGAGGATAGAAATACAATTTTTGGAGAGGAGGGGAGGGGGGTAGGCATGCGCCATCGACCTCGGGGAAGAGGAAGTGGGCACCCTACACACACACACATATATATATATATATATATATATATATATATATATATATATATATATATATATATGGTAAAGTCGAAAACTTTGTATCCTCTTCCTTGGAAGTCCCAATCCAACTATTTTAAACAAAGAGATAAAATCATTTTTTTCTTATATGAAACAATGATAGCAGCAAGTGGTAGGGTTAGTAAACAAAGCTATCCTGACGTGGGAGAATAAATAAACTGTCTTCTGAACCTAAGATTTAAATTTAGAGCCATTCAATCCTTGTTGTGTATGTGTTATTCCGAAACTAATATTATTAGTTTATAGATGTATATTTTAAAATAGATAGCTAGAGAGCTCTTTCTCAACAACGTCCACCATAGACGAATCTACGAGGGGGAGGGGGAGGAGAAGGGAGACTTTCGGGCTGGAGCCTCCCCCAAAATGGTAAAATGTAACCATGTCCTATGGTAAAAAATATTTTTAAAATCATCTTTTTAAGTATTATTGTTCGTTTAATTACATTTAATAGGACTTCAAGAATCACTTAAACACCATTTCATATAAATAGTTAGTATCTATAGGATTTTTTGAAACTATGCGACGTTTTTACTACTCTATTTATTATAATAAATATAAAACTGTAAAAAAGTCTGATTGTGTAGACGATTTTACTGAATAGTTCATTAACTACAACAAATCCAACAAACTAGGATGAGGTGTACAAATGTAGGAAGATATTTTTTTTTTCCTGACCCCCTAGAAACTTAATTTAAAACTAATTACAATATACAACTATAAATGTATATACACAATATTCATTCAACCTTTGCTTAACCAAGGGTATTTTAAGGTAAATGACTGAATATGCGGGAAGCATAAGATACATTCTGTGGCTTTAGGCCTTAATTTCATCACCGGGCGTGGAGGGATCGCCCTGCTTCTATTTATAAAGGATAGGGATTAGGATTTATTTACATATCTACAATTTTTATATATTTTCACTATGTACAAATGTGAGGATTTAGACTGCCGAGTCCAAACCCCCCTCCTTCCTCAAGGACATCTATCAGGGGGACTTTGCCTTGCCACCTTTCAGGCCTGGGCGGTGGGGCGATTTCTTGGAATAATGGATTTGCACAGGTCTTCAGCCCATCAAAAAATTTGTTGTGTCTCCGGCCAATGAATTCCGGGACCGAGATAGATGTCTCTGTTTCTGGATCGCTGGAGATGAGTACCTCGGACTATTCGCCGAAGGACGGAGTTTTGGTATCCCTGCAGTCTCCGCAGTGTCGTCTGGTAAAGGATTCGAAGAAGCGGTGCAGCAGAGAGCAGCGTAGGTCTGATGAACGCCTTGTATATTTGAAGTTTTAATCTCAGCGAGAGCTGCGGCGAGTTCAGCAGGTGGTAGAGTCTATGTGACTTCTGTTTTGTCAGCTTGAGTTTCTGTCTGACGTGACTGGAGAATGTGAGGTGCCTATCCAATGGCACGCCGAGATAGACTTCTGAGGTGGAGATCCGCTGGTCCACCCCACCGATGGTGAAGTTAGTGGGTAGTGGCTTTTACCTTTGCTGGAACGACATCACGATAGCATCGGTCTTCGTGGGGTTCACTCTGATGCCATTTTTCACTAACTCTCCAACGATGACATCAGTGGCTTTTTCTGCATGCTTGAGGGCTCTCTTTGCATTGTTGCTCGATGCATAGAGCCCGATATCGTCAGCTTAGGCTGCTACCACTGCGTTTGGATGCTTGAGTGCCACTATTGAAACGACGAACACTATTGGCCCAAACACAGACCCTTGAGTCAAAGGCCTGGCTGCGGTCCAGTGAGATAAGTGACGTAGATCGGTTGTGATTCATCTGCTCTATGATGTGTGCCTGAAGTTTCGCCAGATGGTGTTCGCAGGCGACGCCTCGTTGGGAACCTGTCTGCTCTGGCGGTGTAATGTTCTTCTCCCTACATTGTTTTATGAGATGGTGGTGAATGAATCAAGCGCTCCAAGAGCTTGCTGATGTGCGAGAGGAGGCTGATCGGGCGATAGTGCTCAGCCGCGTCTCCTTTCTTCCCCGGCTAGAGTAGGGGTACTACAATGTTTCCAGGCTGTGGAAAAGTACGAGCTTCGCAGGTATGAGTGGAAGATGTTCAGGAGGAAGGCTTTGCTCTTCCTTGGGAGCATCTTCAGTAGCACATACGGTATCTCATCCTGTCCTGACGCCTTGCTTCCCTTGGTGCGCCGTAGTACCGACTCAACCTGGTTAATATTGGAAACGGTGAGACTAGGAGATGGTCCATCCTGTACAGGAGGGGCACTTCTCGTCCGCTCAGCATCACCTGCTGGATAGCTTTTCGCCAGTAGTTCAGGCTGTTCCCCAGGTGTTAGCAGCGCCTCTCCTGTCTGATGCACGCTTCTCTTCTTGCTGACGAAAGTCCTGATGAGTCTCCAGAACTGGCGGCAAACGTAGGAAGAGACATTGATTCCAAGGTTTTTATAGGGATGGGTGATCGTCGATAGTTTTTCACTATTAATAGTTCGATAGTACCGATAAAATATCGTTATTATCGATAGTTTAGTAGCTTCCCGAGGACTTAAAGTTTTATTTTCGCTGTATTATTTAGTTATTTACTTTAAAATCCTGCATAAGTTTAATAATAATAATTAACAATTTGGGGGTGTAGGTCACGCCAAACGGCTCAATATTTATGAAAACCACCTTTTTTTCAAAGTCAATATCAAAAACAAGTTTAATATAATTAAAGTTCTCGCAGATTATATATTTTTGGCGTTGCTATCTTTGATAGTGACGTGAGACCACTATTAACTTCCTCTGCTTGTTAAGCTTGCGCCCTTTAATACTGTTGGGGTCCATACTTATCCCTTGGACCAAACCTCAGCAGTTACTCTCTCGAGTGAGGGCAGCGTCGCGCTGACAAGCGGACCTCCTTTCTTCCTTCATTCGTGATGGCGAACCAGAATGAGAACCTTCCTATGGAGATTCCAGAGCCTGAGGCCTCCGAAGATAAAAGTGGGAAGAGGATTCACGAAACTGACAGCGAAGGCCTTGGATCGGATATTGAAGGCTACGCCCCAGTAGCCAAACGACACACGTTTCCCGCCCGTACCGTCCCGGAAAAGCCTTCCCAGATCCCAATTGCCAACAAGTTTTCCGTGTTGAGAGTGAATCTACCGGAGAAAAACAGACCGCCGCCAATCATCATAGCACCTCCGATAGCCCAGGCAGCGCTGAAAAATATACTGATCGAGAATAATATAACATTATTCTCTATCAATTCATCATCAAAAGAAACTCGGCTGTATGTCAACTCCGAGAATGACCACTTTCAAGCCACTTTACTGTTGCGCCAGGACAATAGGGTACAATTCCACAGTTTTGCTCCCAGAGGCACTAAGCGATCTCGAAAATATGTGCTTCACGGATTCGATATTGATTTCCCCGTCGAGGAG